ACCCCAAAACCCCAAAACCCCATGAAAAAAAATTTTATTCAATAGATGAATTTTGAGAAAATAGTTAATCTTAAAATATTTTAAATAATTTAATGGAGGGTATTCAAGTATTTTGCTAAGTTGTTCTCAATTTTTAATAACTTAAAATATCTCTATCTGATCTATCTTGAATGCTGGAACACCAGCCAATATATTCTAGCCATCTTGTTGATCAAGAGCTTCTGGAATCATAAAAGATTATCCTAGGCAACTGGTACACTGTTTAACTGAGAAACTATGACTATCTTTTAGAATCAAATCTTATTTCTAAACTCTTGGAGAATAATAAAGTTGTTAATTTTATTTTCCTAGAATTAAAATTGAATTAGGACTAAAACCTATGTTCCTATCTTTGTTATTGATCTGCTTTATCAAAAAACAATAGTCATTTTGTAAAATAAATGCATTTTAGTCAACAACATACTAATCCATAGCAACATTTTAAAATGGAACTGATAGGTAAATCGTGAATCTTCCTAATTTTTCATTATTCTGTTTAGCCTAGACTATTATCAGTAAATCGGTCATACCATTTATCTTCTGAACCAAATTATTTCTGCTAACTGAGGTTTCATGACATATAAATTTGAATCTAATATTGGCTCCTAATTAATCTTGTAATATTGCTATTTCATCATTATCCTATATCAATTTTGAGGCAGTTTGAATTTGACTGCAACTTATAAGGTTTTAAATAACATTACTCTGAATTATAGATTAATACTTTTTTGCTGATTTCGGTGGTCTCAGTTTATTAATAAGTTAGGATTAAATCATCTATCCCTCTTAGATCATTCTTTATGAATTTTTTATAACTTTAATTTTCTTCATTGAAATCAGTTAAGGTTCCTTGACATAAGAATTCTATGATTCATACAGTTTCATATTTAATTTTTCCTAAGGCCTATTCATATTTTAAACAAATTACTAAAACGATGTTTAATTTTTAATTTCCTAATACTTTTCATAATTTTGAATTTCTTATTGCCAATTACTTCTCTAAGATTTAAAGTTTGCCATGTTATTATCTATACTTAATCTGGCAGATTAGCATCTTTAATATAACTCATATTTCCCTAATTCTTAATTACTAAGAAGGCTATTGCTTGGCTTTTATAATTTTACATTTTAATCGTCCTTTTGATTTAGTTATTTCTCCTACAAATACTACTGAATTTCAAGTTCTTATTACCTTAATAATTCTTGTTTTTATTTTTCTTTTGATTACTACAGTTCAATTATTTGCTTTAATTTAGCAGACTCTTAGATTTTTTCTAGTTTTAATTTTTCTTCCTATTCTTTCTCTTATTTTTATCTTTCTTAAAGTAATCTTAATTATTCTCTAGCTAATTTTTCTTTTTCTAATTTTTCTTTCTCTTACAATTGTAGTAATTTTCTTCGATCTTCATCATTTTCAATCATATCTTGTGGCTACTATTAAATTAAGACACTTTAACTAAACTTAATCTATTATGTTTAGCTTAAGATCTTCTTGTCAAATTATCCAAGATTACTGTATTTTTAACTTATTTATCTAGAATTTTATTGAAACTGTTTTATATTTGAATCCTAAGCTGCTTATTTTAGTTCATAAGATAACTTTTAATCTATAATAGAATTTCTATTAGAGTAGAATTAAGGCTATTATGACTGATATGAATTAAATTCCTTTTTAAATAAAAGATCTTTTTAATTATTTTGTTCTTGAATTATGAATTAATCTTATTTTTTTACCTCTTCATTCTTGATCGAAGAAGGTTAATAAAAAAGCACTTGCTGTTTTATCATTTAGTTTAATGAGGAGTTTTAATTGATCTATTCACTTTTTACATTATTGAAAGGATTATTGAGCTCTTGTTAAAATAATGCCTTTTCTGCTAATTATTTTAAACTCTAATTTCCTAAAACTACTATTTTTTGGAAAGAATTTTAATTAGCCTATTAAATGTTATTTGATTTTATAGATTCAATATATTTCAGAATTTTCTGAGTTTGTTCAAGATCTTGCTAAGCGTTCCAAATTTCATTTTTAAATGAAGTGCGTTATATTTCTAAATATCCTTAGCATAGTTACTTATTATCATTCTTTAGAATTGTCTAAGACTTTAAAATTTCAGATGACTTTGGACATGGGCATTGCAACATAAGTTAAACTGCACAGCCCCTAAGTTTAGAGATTTGTTAGACCCATTCTTATATAGGAAAAGTGTTACCTTGAGGATCAACAATCTCCAAATATTGTCCGTTTATAGGTAGAAAAGCATGTGATCTAACAAAAATAATTAAGAAGAATTTCTTATCATTATGCTTTGCATCTTGCAAGTAATGAATAGCTTTTGCGATTGTATAATTCTTTTTTAAAATTTTAAGTAAAACATCACTGAATTTCTGATTTTATTTGAGCTTAAATCTATAATTTATTCTTGTCACCTCAAACTTCTTAGCGTTTAATGCCTCAAACATCTTATCTCCAACGTCTCCATTGTCTGATAAACTTTAAAAACCTAATCCCTATTGATAGTGATTGAATTCAATTAGCAACCCAAGCTTGATTATCTCAGAATTTTCTCCTTCATAATTCTAATTTTATCGCAACATTTTTTGATCAATTTATAATATTTAATATTTCTAGAATTCAAGAATTCAATGCAAATACAAATGCTTGGGGTTTTGGGGTTTTGGGGG